AAGGCTGAGTATATTAAAATTACTTGCAGTACACAGCCTTATGAAAATGAACAAAAAATTAATTTCTGAATCTCCATATAGGTTAAAAAGCATCAGATGTGCTTATACATTAGAGCATGGAGTATTGTTCGCTTGTTCACTACATACTACTTTAGCACAACGTAAATGTGAGTATGTAGATGTATGTATAAAGTATAAACGTAGTATAGGCTTAGTGGAATTTCATACAGGTGGTATATGCAGTAGAGTTTATTGATTTCTGTAGTTCTGGGAAAGCCCATTTTTTACATGTCATTAGTGTGATAAAACCATGTTCAGGGGGCAGGGCAAACGTGTATGTTATTCTGCATCTTATATTTAAATGTATGAGTGTCACAGAATGATACAGGGACAAATATTAGCAGTACACTTGTGAATCGTGGAACGGTTGGTGCTACGGAGCCACAGTGAAAGGGTTCTAACAAAGTGGTGATGCACTGCATTTTTTCCATTTTTTTGGCGTGGAAGACATACAGAAAAGGAGTTCAGATGTATTGTAGTGAGGGCTTTCTGGCTGCTCTGACAACCTGCAAAGTGCTTTGTGATCAGTTAGAACCTTCGGGTGGAATCTTTTTTTGCAGAGTCCTGTGGTGAAATGTTCCTACTTTTTAATTGCGCCATAAAGCACGACTGCAGGTTTCGGTCTTTTAAGGGAGTTGATGTTTTTGTGTGTGTGTTTTATTTTCCATCTGTTTGTTGATACTATGGTTGCTGATTTCGAAGTGTGTCTTTTAATTCTGAACATCTAAGCCAAATGAAAATCCAGAAAACTTGAAATTTGGTGGACCTTTTAAAAATTGTAAGAGTTGTAATAGCATGGGTAGTAATAAATCTGAAATGTTAATTTTTAAATCTACATTGGACTTTAAGAATACTTTTCATGCCATGTATTGCTGGAAGAACTGTGATCCTCATTTAATCTGCAGCATGTGTACTGTCTAGGTAGAAGCTGAGTTGAGCTGTACTGTTGCAAGTGCTTCAAGTATGTGAGAAAGGCATCTATACTAGACTTTCTCTCATATAAAATTACTTGTTTATTATTTCCATTTAACCAGTTGTCATGACTATAGAAACGGTGATTGCATGATTCTTCTTTTATTTTTCTGGTTTTGCCTCTACGTATTAAGAATTGCTAAACATAAATCTATTGCCTTTCCCCCATAAATGTGTTGTCATGTATATATTAGACATTCTATAGAATGTCTCTGTAGAAAATAAAATCTTCCAGTTTTGGGCTCACTTCCTTTGAATACTACTGTTTTATTTCGTCATGTGTGTCATGAGAAATTACTGCTGTCACTTACTTTGCCTGTTGTACGAATTACATTTTTGAGTAGTTGCTGAAACATTAATTCTTCATTTTAATTATGAATTGGTAAAAACTATTTTACGCAAATGAATTGAAAGTGGATTTCCTTGGTTTAAGAACTTACAGTTGTATTTCAAAGACTTATGCCTTATTCTAGAAGATGGATATTTACTGGTTATATTTCGGGCTTACAACACTAGCAGAGCAGTCTGTTAGTATTTTTTAGGTATGCTTTCCTGTAACAAGACATACATCATTCTTGCAAGACTACAGTTTGTTTCACCTCATGTTTCAGGTTCAAACTGTTGTCAGTTGTAACAGTAAGACCTAAAGAATGGAGAATAATGAGAGTTGAATTATGATGTTTAGCTGCCATACTAAAAGTGGACCAGTAGAGGCTTTATTAAGAAAAATCTGTGAAGTTTTGATTATTTATTAATATTGTGCTGAGATACAACTCTATGGGGGAAAAGTATTTTTACATTGTATAATAACTCTGCTTTTATTATACTACGGGTACGTGAAGATGTATGTTACATAGTGCTTAGTAAGCCTGAATGACATGTTTGGCCTCATGTAACTGCTTTGCTTGTATTTCAGGGAAACTGTCAATTCACTGCATGTTTGTTGGCAATCAGCAGTGGTTGATAAGCAGTCATTTGATGTTTGTTTTTAATCATAACAGGAATTCCCATTTTTTACCTTGACGACCTTTCCACCAGGCTTCCTTGTCCACGTTGGTGGTGTTGTCAGTGCACGATCTGTGAAGCTCCTGGACCGCATTCACAATCCTGGTATGTGAACACAGAAATGACTTTCTTGCCCAAGTCTAGTTGTAATGATCATGTGCTTCTAATCTTTATAACATATTAGTATTTGAATAGATACAAATCTATTCTAATAATGTGTATTAAAAGCAATGCTTTTCAGTCATTTACAATTGAAAAATAGTAGTTATTCAGAGGGTTTGTTTTTAATGAAAAGCTTTTCAGCAAGTTAATGAAATAATAAAGTACTTAGAATCCAGTAGCTTTGTGCTAAAATCTTTGAATTGTTGAGGGTATAATTATTTTATTACTTTCAAATATTAAAGCTTGATGCAAGTTTTCCATTCAAACGAAAATAAGATTAAATACTTGATCTTAACTATGAATGTTTTCTAATTTTCAGCTCCTTGAAATCCTTAAGGAATAATGACTACAATTTAGCTCAATACGTGTTTTTAACCTCTTTTGAGAAAACCTTTACAGCTTTGTTTCTGTTCTTAAAAACATACACAGAACAGTCCTTTAAGATTTTTATTTAATATTTACCTGGGAACTCCAGTACTGGAACATGTGTATTTTGCATGTCCTAGTTCTGACATCCGAATTAAGTGACTTTTGACTCTGGAGACTTTCTTGTTACGTTCACTGAGACAAGCTGAGAAATACTCTGTAAAAAGTTGACATTAGCCAGTGCGCTTAAAAATGCAGACAGAGGAGAGTAAAAAATATCATCTGTAGTGGTTTTGCATGCACTAGTCAGGAGTAATAAAACAAACTTTATGTAAATGCATCTTTAAAAGCAATTAAAAAAACCTCAACTGTGTTCCTTTTCTTTCTTCTTCATGTGGCCCAGGTCAAGTCATTCTACAAGCACGTAGATTGTTGCTCATCTAACGATTCAATAAACCGACAACGTGAAATAAAATCTGAGACTTAATTTGAACCAAAAAAAATAAGGGATTTTTTTAAAAGCATATGAGTACACAATATTGTTCTTTTTCCCCCCTATTTTTAAGATTTATGTACATAGTGGAGAGAAGATTAAGCGAAATGTCAAAGTCTAATTTATGTGTGGGTGCCCCCTTTCTTTGCCATAAAGTTGTCTTAGGCTTCCATATTTTCGACATATTTCTGATACAGGTCACTTATGTGCAGAACTTACTGTGTGATAAATTTATTTAAGACAAAATGAAAAAAAATCAATTATGCTCAGAAGTTTTAAAAACTGATTTCTTCCATTATGCACTCCTTTACCAACTGACTGAAAGCAGGATAAGAAATAAGAGATATGTATTTGCACAACTAAGTGGCTCTTCGCAGTGTTTTTGTGAGACTTGTAGATTGCTCCTGACAAGTGAATGTAAGACGCATGATACTTTGAACTCAGTATATTGCAAAACAATGAAAACAAAAGGGGTAATAAAGGCAAATGGCTATGGGAGGGAAGGTGAAGAGATAGAAAAAAAAAATTCTGATATAGTGATGATCATACTAAGCATTTGAGTCAAGTCTGTAAAATATTAAAGGAAACTGGCAAATGAATAGAGGGACATGTAGAAGAGGAAAGAACGTTTGAAGGGGTGGATTGAGAACATATTGATAAGACAATAATTGCTGTATACTGTACACTTTGATCACGCCTAGTGCTAGATTGCTATAGCATGCTCCTTTTTTCCCTTTCTATTTCAGCCTCTTATTAACTCTGCTGTCTGTGTCTTTCCAGTTCCTGTGGAGTGGTGTTGTCAATTGTGTTCTTGTTGGTAGTTTTTTTTTCACTATTCTGCTCCTATAACTGATCTACTAATTTGCTGTTTTGAACTCAGCCTTTGTCGGAATTATGGGTAACACAAGATCATACAAACTGCTAGACTGGAATAGTTTCAATTCAGGTATTTTACTAGTCATTCAGTACTACATATGCTGACAGAAATTATGGCAGCTCAGTGAAGTTCTTAGAAATGCTGTAGGATGTTTAGGTTAATGCTTCAAATTTAAATCTGTGTAATCATCAAATGCCTAAATGTCTCGTTTTAATGTTGTTAAAGGCTTTCTTTAAAATTGCAAAACATTGTTTTAGTATAAAATAGTATTGCTAAGAATAATATCAATCTGGAAAGCTGAATGTTCAGATGATTGTTTTGTAGTAGCTTTCACCTCAGTGTCCATGAAGTGTATAACTGAAGGAAAGAGAATAGATTCTTATTTATACAGTTGGGATCATGTCAGATGTGAATTAATTTTTGTTGTTGTTGTTGGTTTGATTTGGGGGGGAGGGGGCTGTTGGTTATGCATGAGCTTGTACTTTCTTCAGTGATGGCTGTAATTCTATTAATTTCAGGTACTGATGAATGTGTTTGTTCTAAATAATAGACATAAAAGTTGACTGAGAGGAGGGAAAATAGCGAAGAGGACTATTTAAAGAGAGGAGTAGTTTGCAGTACAGGATTTGTTGGTTCATAAATCTTGTAAAATGCAATCAGCTTGCAGGATTTAACAGCATAATTGTTTGAACTTTTTAATCACTTTAACAATTAACTTGAAAAAAGCCAAAATACTTTTTTTTTTTTTGGGTGCAGTTTTAGGGATCAAAGTGTGTAACTTCCTTATACAGATGCAGAGAGTGGACGAGTTGATGATGCAGTCAACATAAAAGCTGCACAGAGCACTGGCCTATGACAGGGAGAAATACAGACTTTTTCCGCTCTGGAAATGTGGCATGCTTTGGAGGAAAGGCAGGTGTAACTTCTCTGCATGTAATATCCAAGCCAGCAGACCTTGCCAAACTTTGATGTTTTTAAGGCTGCCATAGTAAAAAGGTCTAAAGCAGACCTCTGGGGGTTTGTTTCCCCTGGGAACAAACTTTCCTTCTTGGTACTGCACTGTTGCAGTGCAGCTCTGTGTCGTGCTCTGAACTTCAGTTTACATTATCTGTATATGTTTTTCATTTTACAAATAGTTCAATAATAGATATTGCCTAAAACTATTGGCACGTTTTTGTATCCTTGTTCCTTGCTGCAGTAAGTGTCCTGTGATTCTATAATTATGAGGTTTTCTGGTTTTATTGTATTTATTTGCTTGTTCTGAAGTGATAATCTTTAAAAATGAATTTTACTTTCCGTATGAAAATAATATTATGAAATTCTCAGATCTGTTACTGCTGTAGCACAGTCTTATCCAAGGTGTTAAAAATGTGTTGAAATTCTTCGTCCTGTATACTGCCTTGAAAAGTTTGAATTAATTGTTGCTTCTTTGAGACAGTGTTTAGTAGGATGTTGCCATGGAAGAATTTTATTAGAATAATGGAGTAAATGAGTTACGTACAGACACTAACCATACCTTGAGCTGGGTTAGAAATTGATCCAGAAATGTAAGCCTAGGAAGCTAAGGGGAAGTCATGAATTCATTTCTTGACAGAATATCCAAAATGATAGCCTACATTTTTCAGAGATAACAGGGGTATACACACACGTATATATGCATTTTATACCCGGAGGTGGTTATTCCCCAGAAATTCTGGAGTACAGAGGCCTAAACCAAACAGTAATTTTAGAGTTAATACCTTGCCAAGAACTGTTTGTATCTCTGTTGCCTTGACATGCGTCAGCAGCTCTGTAATAGCAGTCTTGATTAATCCTGCTGGTTAGCGCCTGAGCAGGCTATGCTCATATGCCTGGAACTATGTTTCTTTTGCAGTTCTAGCTGTGTTAGCTGAAGGAAGAAGAAAGGAGGAAGAGAGTAGTTAAGTCGCCACATATTATGTGGGATGGATAGTAGAGTTGCAGATTACATACAGGTTAACTCTGTTTTAAACTGGAGTAATGAATGTGCTGTGCAGATCTGTTATCATTGGGAAACCAAAGGAGAAGATTTCTATTCATCTACTCCTCCTAGAGCTTTATTGCCAACTCTGTCATTGCTGGCTAATACTTGGCCCAGAGGAGACCAGGGATTTATGCAGCTTAAGGAAAAGAATATTACATCTTTCCATTACATTGACGTTAGCAAGAATGTAATCACAACCATAAGTAGGCTAAAATTATTTTCCTTTCTGAGAATGTTCAGGCTTCATTTGAGCTTGCTAATAACCTGCGTAGCATAGAAGGATATTTGTTTTTTTTGCTAATGGCAGAGAGGCTTGTTTAATTAAGTGTGTAAGATACAACAGGACCATCTGATGATGCTGAAAAATCAGAGGTTTGAAGATGCTTGAAGATCAAATGTAGAAGTAAAGACTGACTTTATTCGATGAATGAAAAAGAAACTTCTTAAACGCCTGGGAATTGCATATAGTTCAATGACAACATTGTTTAAGTGTTTGTAAATTTAAGAAAAAGTGATGACCAAGATGAATCCAAAAAATAAAAGTAGCAACACAAGAACACAAATTCATAGAAAAGAGGGCACATTATACAGTGGAAAAAATACTCTGGTGCAGTGTCTGAAAAAGGATGCTAAAGATGTGCTATAAGGAATCCTAGATCCAGAAGACTGGATCATAGAATGGCATAGACTGGAAGGGACCTTAGAGATCATCTAATCCAGCCTCCCTGTCATAGGCAGGGATGCCTCTCAACTAGATCAGGCTACTCAAGGCTCTGTCCAACACCTCTAGGGAGGGGGCATCCACAACTTCTCTGGGCAATTTATTCCGAAGTCTTACCGCCCTCGTACTGAAGAATTTCTTCCTAAGATCTAATCTAAATCTGTTCTCCTTCAACTTAAACCCATTTCCCCTTGTCCTATCAGTGGACACTCTTGTAAAAAGTCCCTCCTCAGCCTTCCTGTAGGTTCCGTTCAGGTATTGAAAGGCAGCTATTAGGTCCCCCCGAAGTCTTCTCTTTTCAAGGCTGAACAATCCCAGCTCCTGCAACCTGTCTTCGTAGCAGAGGTGCTCCAGCCCCTGGGTCATCTTCGTGGCCCTTCTCTGAACACGCTCCAACAGATCTCTCTCTCTCTTATGGTGGGGATACCAGAACTGGACGCAGTATTCGAGGTGGGGTCTCACAAGAGCAGAGTAGAGGGGGAGAATCACCTCTCTTGACCTGCTGACCACGCTTTTCTTGAGACATCCCAGGATGCGGTTGGCCTTCTGGGTCGCATGAGCACACTGCCGGCTCATGTTGAGCTTCTCATCTATAAACACCCTCAAATCCTTCTCTTCAGGGCTACTCTCAACCCACTCTGTGCCCAGTTTGTATTTATGCCTAGGATTGGCCTGGCCCAGGTGAAGGACCTCGCATTTTGACTTGTTGAAGCTCATGCAGTTAGCATTGGCCCATTTCTCAAGCCTGTCAAGGTCCCTCTGTATGGCATCTCTTCCCTCAAGTGAGTCCACGGCACCACACAGCTTGGTGTTGTCAGCAAACTTACTAAGGGTGCACTCAATGCCATGATCCATGTTGCTGACAAAGATGTTGAACAGCACTGGACCCAGAACAGACCCCTGAGGGACACCGCTTGGCACTGGTCTCCATGTAGACATTGCACTATTGACCACAACTCTTTGAGTGTGACCATCCAGCCAGTTCTTTATCCACCGAGTGGCCCATCTGTCAAATCCGTGTCTCTCCATTTTGGAGACAAGGATGTCATGTGGGACAGTGTCAGATGCCTTGCACAAGTCCAGGAAAACAACATCCGTTGCTTTACCCACGTCAACCAGTGCTGTAGCTTTGTCGTAGAAAGCCACTAAATTAGTCAGGCACGACTTGCCCTAGTGAAGCCATGTTGGCTGTCACCAACCACTTGGTTATTTTTTATGTGCCTTAGTACAGCTACCAGGAGAAGCTGTTCCATGATGTTACCTGGCACAGAGGTAAGGCTGACTGGTCTGTAGTTTCCCGGGTTGTCCTTGGTCCTTTTTTTAAAGATGGGGGTTACGTTTGCCCTTTTCCAATCTGTAGGAACCTCACCAGACTGCCAGGACCTCTCAAATATGATGGCTAGTGGCCTTACAACTTCAGCCGCCAGTTCCTGCAGGACCCATGGATCATTCTTAAAGTTTCTCCTCGAGGTTAAATACACAGAAGAAAGGATCCTTAGGAAGTGCAAGGAACTTGCAGAATAGAGACTGCTTCTGCACTAACATGTGCAGTGTTCTCACATAATTATTTTTAAACACCTCGTTCAGGGCGCTGTGTCAGCAGTGATTCTTCAACTCCAGTAGTCAGAAGCATGGAAGGAGAAAAGATTATTAATAAAATACCTAAGGATCTCCTGAGCTCCTTGTGCGATATCCAGACATGCTGTTGGAGTGTGAAATTCTCCAGAAGTCTAGCTTTGTATATGAGGAAACGCAAGAGGAAAGCTCGAGCATGTTTTGGTTCTGTAGCAGAATGCTTTTCTTTCACAGAAATACAAACATACAGTGAATGTGCAAATTCCATTTCGTACTGCTGTCTGGGATGTAAATGTGGCGCACTTGTAAGAACACAGTAGAAAATGTCAGAATGTTTTTGTTAGTGTCTGATGTGGGTATCATTCAGAACTAGTAGAAAAATAACATTCTAAGGACTTTTCTTGGAGAATTTCCAGGTCGACTTCTTGGACATCAATGTGTGTTGATACGATAATGGGAGGATAAGGCAGTTGTCAGAGGCTTTTCTGAGCAGAGCAGCAGGTGCAGAGTTTTTCAGTAGTATTTTACTCTACTTTTCTGCAACTTTTCCAGAGGATTGAATATTCCTAAATGGTTTTTATGGTTAATGTGAAGTGTTTGAATATTCTTTTTTTGAAGCAGATGCACCCTTTTATTAATGAAATAATTTTCTTTGAGACTCCAATTTTCTTTTGGAAAGTTCTGAGTAGATATTTATGTAACTGAACAGGGTGGTCACTGTCAGTGAGTTTAGAGTACTATTCCTACATTCTGTTCGAGATTCATAAAGTA